ACACTCAATAAGATGGCCCAAATGCTGAAATTTCTACTGAAGTATTGCTCACTGGACTCTTAACATATATATTCCTCCCTGGGCCCACTAGAATTTCAGTGGTACCTCGGGTTACAAATGCTTCGAGCTACATTTTGTCGGGTTACAAATAATTTTAACCCAGACGTGAATTTTCTGAGCTCTCGGAGGCCTCGCCGCTGCCGAGTCCCAACATCCGTGGGGCCTACGGATGCTCCACGAGGCATCCGCGAATGCTGGGAGCCAAGCCAATTGTGATTGTGGAAGAGGACTCTGAGCCTCCATCCAAACAAGGACTATCATCAGCGCAGGTAAGGAAAAAATCACATTTTCATTTTGTACTGTTTTATTGATTTCAATTTTTTGGTCAATGGCCTCGTTAGATAGTAAAATTTATGCAAAATTGCTGTTTTTGGGGTCGCTTTTCATCGTCTGGTTCCTGTTGAGTGTGTTTCGTTTGTTAATTGAGTCCCTCGCTGCTAATCAGAGGCTTCCTGTTGAGTCTGCCAGCTGTTGAGTCCTGAGCACCCACGCAACACAGAAGTTATAGTTGGAAGTTTTGTTTTTGCTTTTCTTTTTTTTTGCATTTTGGTTGTCTGGCTTTTTCAGTTTTTTGACGTGACTTGTTCTTCATTCGCTTTTGTGACTGTGGCTTGTGATTTCATATTTGTGACTTGTTTTTGTGACTGTGAGGAACCCAGTTCAGCTACTGATTGACTGTGTGACTGTAGAAATGGATAAAAAAACCCATTCAAACTGACTATCATCAGTTAATTTTTTTTTCCATTAAAATACTGTCTTATTTATTTTATAGTGCTGTAAATTGATTATTGCCTTCATTTTTTGGATCAATGGTCTCGTTAGTAAAATCGTGTTAAATTGCTGTTTTAGGGGTGTTTTTTTCATCGTCTGGAACAGATCAATCCACTTTCCATTATTTTCAATGGGAAAGTGTGCTTCAGGTTAAGAACACTTCAGGTTAAGAACGAACTTCCGGAACCAATTAAGTACTTAACCTGAGGTACCACTGTACCTGCTCTGATACCGTGGTAACCGCCTGTCAACACCTGAGCCTCCTGCCACCAGATGCAGAACAGCATGTGCTTCAAATGGCTGTAATCTGCCCAGGGACCTTAAGGATCAAGAGCAACTATAAATAAAAGACATCAGCATCAGCTTTAACGGCCTCGGTCCAGTATACCTGAAGGAGCGTCTCCACCCCCATCGTTCAGCCCGGACACTGAGATCCAGCGCCGAGGGCCTTCTGGCGGTTCCCTCATTGCGAGAAGTAAGGTTACAGGGAACCAGGCAGAGGGCCTTCTCGGTAGTGGCGCCTGCCCTGTGGAACGACCTCCCAGCAGATGTCAAAGCAATAAACAACTATTTTACTTTTAAAAGTCATCTGAAGGCAGCCCTCTTTAGGGAAGTTTTTAATGTTTGATGCTGTACTGTTTTTAATATTCAGTTGGAAGCCGCCCAGAGTGGCTGGGGAAACCCAGCCAGATGGGCGGGGTATAATTAATAAATTATTATTATTATTATTATTATTATTAACCACAATATTGCACAAGCCAAGAGGAAATATATCACACAAGTATGTCTATGGAGCAAATAGTTCCAGAGATGACTGACAGAAGAGAGGCACACTGCATAGTGCAGAAAATTGCACACGCGCACACACACACACCCCAAAATATTTGTGCAGTATTTCTCCAAGAACATCTCCCTATGTTGTTGGCACCGGTATATTAATTAACTAAACTAGCTACACACACATGCTGAATAGCAGAATATTTGTAAAGAAGGAGTTCAGCAGATTCTGAGACTATCTCAAAAATTTCTCACTAGTTCAATAATTACACAAGAGGATTTCTTAACAGTTGTTTGGGTTCCTTCCAACTCTCCAGTTCTGTGATTCTATAATGTTGTTTTAAGCCTGAACATTGGACCTCCCAAGTATTCAAAAGAGGTTGAACCGGCTGAACGATGTTTTCATTTCGGGAAGAAAACACCCCTGCTCAAGTAAGTATAGAGGGATGCGGGTGGCGCTGTGGTCTAAACCACTGAGTCTCTTGGGCTTGCTGATTCGAAGTTCGGCAGTTCGAATCCCCATAACAGGGTGAGCTCCCATTCCTCTGTCCCAACTCCTGCCAACCTAGCGGCTCAAAAGCATGCCAGTGCAAGTAGATAAATAGGTACCACTGCGGAGGGAAGATAAACAGCATTTCCGTGCACTCTGGCACTTGTCATGGTCCTCTGTGCACCAGTAGCAGTTTAGTCCTGCTGGCCACATGACCTGGAAAACTGTCTGTGGACAAACGCCAGCTCCCTCCGCCTGAAAGCGAGATGAGTGCCACAACCCCATAGTCGCCTTTGACTGGACTTAACCATCCAGGGGTCCTTTACCGTACCTTTAAAGGGAAAGCTAAATCATCAAGCGTAGACTGCAGTGAAGTCTGGGGGAAAGTGGAAGGCATTCCATTGAATGAAATGATTCACTAGAGACAGTTCCTAGTATGATAAATTTGCTGCTCATTTCAGCCAGCGGACATTGTCCTTGATCAAACGATGTTGTGACTTTCACAGTAATCGCTTCAGAAATTTGCTCACTGAAAAGAAATGGATTGGACTGAACAGATTCCAGCATTATTCCTGCTCATCCTTACGATCATATTCATTTTGAAATGGGGCAGTTTCTGGAACAGGAGCTCCAAAAATCTCCCACCAGGTCCTACACCTTTACCACTTGTTGGGAATCTCCACATGATGGATCTGAAGAGACCTTACAGAACAATGTTAAAGGTAACGTTTTCTGTTCTTTTTGCAGCAAGGCAAAGATTCTGTGGATCTTTTTAGGCCAGGTAGATGTCAGTGTTCCATCTCATATATGCAGATATGCCAAAATGATAAAACTCTGTCAAGTATGGCTTATTCCTTTTTCTCTTCCTTTTTGTGTGTGACTGCTGTTATGGTTTAGGCTGATAGCTGATCTGTGCAGTGGAGGGACTGCGTCACTGGAGGAGGGGAATAGGAATGCCACAACCAGCCTTATGTGCAAAAATTAGCTGCAAAATTATTAAACTTTTCAATGTGAAGTCAGCACTTCTAAATACGCTCTTAGAATCCAGTCAAGTTTTCACAATCATCTAACGTGAAACAAAACAAAGCATTTATATTGCGGAATGTGGGCTTTTAAGTGTGCCTATGTATGAAATTTTTTAATGTCTAAAATTATGTTCTTATTGAGAATGTTCGTCTCTTCGCAACACCCACAGTTCCCAGGATTCTTTGCGCAGGTGAAAAAATTTGCATTAGATTAAATCTAGATTAAGTCTAGATTAAGTCGGCGTTTCCGTGTGCTGCGCTGTTGCTGGCTCGTCACAGCAGCTTCGTCACACTGGCCACGTGACCCAGAAGTGTCTTCGGACAGCGCTGGCTCCCGGCCTCTTAAGCAAGATGAGCGCGCAACCCTAGAGTCGGACATGACTGGCCCGTACGGGCAGGGGTACCTTTAGCTTTACCTTAGATAAAGTCTCCAGTGTAATTTTAGCTAAAGGCAATATTGGAAAGCACTGGCACTCCCCGGGGGAAACAGAGGAGCCTACAATTCTATGATTCTAACTTTCCATTTGTTAAGGAAGGAAAATTCACATCAGTTTTCAGCTTTAATTGCTTTCGGTTTCCGCCAAATAAAATAAAGGACCTGCAGAATTTGCCATCCAACTGCACTTTCTTCTTAATAATTTGAGGTTGCTCCTCGTCCTAAAGGCACCCACGTGTTGGGCAGTGCTTAGACATTTAAAGTTGACAAATTATACCATACAACCATGTAAATGAAATCAGTTTTCATTTCAGATCTGTGACAATATGTATGTATGTATGTTTAGGGGATTTATTTGATGTTTCTCTCTTTTGGTCATTGAACTCCAGTTGTCAAAAGAACATGGCCCCATCTTCCGCACCCAAATGGGATTCCAGAAAATGGTGGTGCTGACAGGGTATGAGACAGTCAAGGAGGCTCTGGTGAATCAGGCAGATGCATTTGCAGAGAGACCCGCCATCCCAATTTTTGAGGAGTATACAAGGGGCTTTGGTGAGGCCTTTCCTTCTGTATAATAGCTTGTGCTGTTTGTGAAATTTAGTTATCATAGCAATATAGAATCTGTGCCAAAAGGTTCATAGAACTGATTCTTAGTTTCAATTATAGCTTGGAGGACAGCTTGCCAATCGACCAGTGTAGCTGCAGCCATTGGATGGATAATGCCAAATGTCTTTGTCACTGCCAGCAAAAGAGTAGGGTTGAGGGAATAGGAGAATCTGGTCATAAGATAATGTACCATTACAGCTGAAGGGCCGTAAACTGGAGAACCCCCTCTCCAATTGTGTTCTGAGGGTACAACCCATAGGGATATTGCTGAAGTACTGCAGCGTGTGTGTCTTATCAGGGACCGGAAGAGGGACCAGCTGAGAGGCATCCTCAGTTCCACAGAAGAAGGGTGAGATAAGCCAAAACATATTATTGTGGCCATGATAACTTGAAACTTGATCTCTGCTCTTCAGGTGTTGTTTTTCACATGGTGAAAACTGGAAAGCGATGCGGCGGTTCTCACTAAGCACATTACGGGACTATGGCATGGGGAAAAGGTCCATAGAGGACAGAATTGTGGAAGAATGCAGTGTCCTGATTAAGACATTTGAATCTTACCAAGGTGGGTTAGTGTTTCCTCTACTGCTCCAGGGCAAAACAACACTACATTAGATGCCCACAATATTGTGTTGCATACATATTGCTAACTCTCGGAACTATAGTAACCAGGATTCCCTGTGAAGAGGTAACCAATCTGCAGTGTTCAGGTCAGTGTGAGGTAATGCTGGCCTCTGTCCCCATTCAGGCCTGGTGGCGCCCACTGCTACCACTGCTGCCTCCCAAGGCATGTAAAGGTGCTGGCTTCACATTCACCTTTGTCCAGTCTCCGTCAGGCTGCTAATGCTGGGGCATTGTCTTCCTAGGCCCTTGTGGGGCAGCATGAGGAGGCACCTCTCTTTGGGGCAGGGGGTGGCTCAGAGACCAGGGGTGGCTGTGGCGGCTGCCTAGAGGACTCCCAAGGAGAGCGGAGAGGAAAAGAGGCTGAGGGAACACTTCATGAGGGAGGGTGTTTGGAAAAGTGTGAGAGGCCGCCGGCTTTGCAGGCAAGGGGTGACATAACTGGCTCCTGAGGCTTGGAGTGCATTAGCCCCCAGGAAAACCACAGAAAGAATGTAGCTGGTCAAGGGAGTCATGGACTCAAAAAGGATGAAGACCTCTGCTTAGGTATATACTGCCCATGACTCTTTTTAGCGTTTCTTAACTCAGATATCTTCAAGTACACCAGAATGTGTTTCTAAGATAAATGTGCTCTATACATCGGTAGGCTGACACTGGGAACCTAAGGCAGAGAAGAGCAATTCTACTTGGTATTTTATCTGAGCATTGTTTAATATTTATGTATAGGACAACCATTTGAAACCACCACAATTATAAATGCCGCTGCTGCCAATATCATAGCATCCATCCTACTAAACAAGCGATTTGAATACGAAGACTCCACATTTAGAAAACTTCTAAAGATGGTCAATGAAAATATCCGGCTTTTTGGAAGCCCCTCTGTCATGGTAATCTAAGCTTTTTCAAATGGAAAAGAAATAGTTGGTTGTATTCACTGAATACTCAATGTGGGTGCAATTCCACATTGTTCAGGATTCACTTAAAAACTCATTTTGAGAAATATGAGTCGCTTTCAGACCATTTTAAAAAAGCAGTCTTCCCCCCATTTATTATTTTCATTCATATAATTGGATATTCTGCTTAAAATATAATAGCTAGATAACTTAAACCATAATTGACTTTTTGTATACAGTATTGATGCCCCTGGCCACTAATGGTCTAAGTATATGGTCTTGTCCACATCTGAGCAAACTGCTAATCCACAAGTACAAGGGGCTCCAGAAATACACCAGCACATAAGAAAGTGGCCCTCCAGCCTTGGCCTCTAAGGGATATTGACTCAACGTTGCTCCAACCCAAATACATTATTGTTCTGTATCATTGTTTATTCCTCTGTGGAAGATGAGATATTTGGAGTACCACCTGAGAATTAAGCACTGGGCTTTTCTCTTTGTCATATTTTATCCTTACAGCTGTATAATGTATTTCCTGCTCTTGGCTCGCTTTTGGGAGTTCATAAGACTCTCCTTCACAACAGAGATGAGATGCATGCCTTCATAAATGCCACCTTCATACAACACCTCAGAGATCTGGATGAAAATGACCAAAGGAGCTTCATTGATTCATTTCTTCTGAAACAGCAAGAGGTAATGGAGTCCTTTAAGCCCGCCAATAATGTTTTTCGATATTGTCAAAAGTTGAAATTTTCACATTTTAAAAATACATTTCCATGTGTGCTGGTGTCTAATATACTCTGCACGTTTTGTTTTATTTTTCCTCTATAAAGCTTTGGCTAATATACGGAGTCTGTGATATGATTGCTTGCAGGGCTGTTTTCCACTCGGACTCCCGCTCCTCTCAAAAGAAAAAGAAAAAAAACAACCTTTGAGATACGGTAGCTCAGTTGGTTGGAACACGTTGCTGCGTATGCCAAGGTTGCAGATTCGATCCCTCTAACGGACAGCTGCAGTCCTACACTGCAGATGTTTGGAACAGATGATCCTCACATGGAATTTGATCTGCACATGGAATTTGCTCGTCACCTTGTTATAGCCAATTCTTTCTCTTTACACCCCAGGAGAAGGACAAGCTGAATGGATATTTCAACACTGAAAACCTAAAAGCAGTTGTGAGTAACTTATTTTCTGCTGGCACAGAGACCACTGCTATCACACTGCGCTGGGGACTGTTACTAATGATGAAATATCCTGAAATTCAGAGTGAGTGCTTTTCATTGGGTTGGCTCCCATTACCCTAGCTAGCATATCTTGATTCCAGTTATAGATAACTATCTGGGGTCCCGGGAAGCTGGGGGGCTGAGCCCCACAATTCTCAATGGGGGGACAGCCCCCCTCAATATTCCACAATACGGTGGGCCTTGTTGGGCCTAGTTTCAATGTGTGACATCACACATGTCAGCCCCCCCCCAATGTTGGGTGTAATCAAGCATGCATGTTTCTGACTTTCACATCCTACATAACTATAAGCAAATTGTATATTTCCACTAAAATTCTCAGGTGAATAGTGTCTTCCACAATTTTGCATTATGTTGTGAGATTGTGCTCATAGATCAGGCAGTCCCATTGCATAATTAGCTGTCAGTTGCTCTAGGAAATCTGAAGATATGAGTTGGTGGCAAAAATAAGCTTTTGAGTTTGGCATTTGGGGGTGGGGACAAAAAAAACCACCAATGAGTTTATTTTAACAAAAAAAATTCCCCCTCCACTGCCCCCAGATAAGGTCCAAGAAGAAATTACGAAGGTTGTTGGATCTTCTCAACCAAGGATTGAGCACCGAACGAAAATGCCATATGTAGATGCAGTGATCCATGAGATCCAGAGATTTTCTGACGTTGGCCCAACAAATCTGCCACATGCAACCACTGTGGATGTTACCCTCAAAGGCTACTTCATTCCAAAGGTAACCACTTTGATTAAACTGCATTCTTTGCTCAGCTGACTGCAATCAATTTCTTCATTAATTAGGACATGACACTTTAGGCTAACCCTAGGAGCAGGCCCCACTGACCTCCTTGTAAAGTAGGGGGCCCTTGCCCCCCTGGGGCCCCTGTTGGAGCCCCAGTTCCCTAGACTGGGCCTACTTGCTTCTTCCTTCCTCGCTGCATACATGTCTTTATTGAGTTATCCCAGAAAAGTTGGGCAAGGGGCTCAGTCCACTATTCTCTCAGTCCAGTTCTGCTGGATCTCTCAGTGGCCTTTGACACCATCGACCACAACATCCTTCTGGACTGTCTAGAGGGGCTGGGAGCTGGGGTCACTGTTATACAGTGGTTCCGCTCCTTCCTCCTGGGCCGTGTCCAGAAAGTGGTGGTGGGGAATGAGTGTTCAGACCCCTGGGCTCTCACTTGTGGGGTGCCTCAGGGTTCCATCCTCTCCCCCATGCTTTTTAATATCTATATGAAGCCGCTGGGAGAGATCATCAGGGGGTTTGGGCTGGGTGTTCATCAGTATACAGATGACACCCAGCTCTAACTCTCCTTTAAATCAGAACCAGTGAAGGCGGTGAAGGTTCTGTGTGAGTGCCTGAAGGCGGTTGGAGGATGGATGGCGGCTAACAGATTGAGGTTGAATCCTGACAAGACAGAAGTACTGTTTTTGGGGGACAGGTGGCGGGCGGATGTGGGGGATTCCCTGGTCCTGAATGGGGTAACTGTGCCCCTGAAGGACCAGGTGGGAGTCATTTTGGACTCACAGCTGTCCATGGAGGTGCAGGTTAATTCTGTGTCCAGGGCAGCTGTCTACCAGCTCCACCTGGTACGCAGGCTAAGACCCTACCTGCCCGCGGACTGTCTCACCAGAGTGGTGCATGCTCTAGTTATCTCCCGCTTGGACTACTGCAACGCGCTGTACGTGGGGCTACCTTTGAAGGTGACCCGGAAACTGCAATTAATCCAGAATGTGGCAGCTAGACTGGTGACTGGGAGTGGCCACCAGGACCACATAACATCGGTTCTGAGAGATCTGCATTGGCTCCCAGTACGTTGCCGAGCACAATTCAAAGTGTTGGTGCTGACCTTTAAAGCCCTAAACGGCCTTGGTCCAGTATACCTGAAGGAGCATCTCCACCCCCATCGTTCAGCCCGGACACTGAGATCCAGCGCCGAGGGCCTTCTGGCGGTTCCCTCATTGCGAGAAGTAAGGTTACAGGGAACCAGACAGAGGGCCTTCTTGGTAGTGGTGCCCACCCTGTGGAACACCCTCCTTTCAGATGTGAAGGAAATAAGTAGCTATCCTATTTTTAAAAGACATCTGAAGGCAGCCCTGTTCAGGGAAGTTTTTAATATTTAAGGCTGTATTGTTTTTAATACTTGATTGGCAGCCGCCCAGAGTGGCTGGGGAAACTCAGCCAGATGGGCGGGGTATAAATAAATTATTATTATTATTATTATTAT